TGTGGCAAGCAAAAGCAGCCAGTTAACTTCGAAAAAGGGGCTCCGTGTCTAATGATGATCCCACAACCAGTCAGCCGATGGGATATGAAAGTTGAAGTGCTAAGGCGTGCGGCAGGCGGTAGTGAGCAATAAACCTTTAGCTGGCCAAAAGTCTCACATGCTGGGTTCCTCATACTTGCAACTTATTTCGGCACAAAAGCTGGCCATACGAACGCCCTGGCGCATCTATACTGCATGTCTAGAGCGGACGGAGGACTTGGGCTGAAGCAACAATCTCGAAGGTGGAACGGATTGAAAACGCCTGCTGCCGCGAATACTTCACGCATCGTCTACACCTACTTTGGATAGTTGGTGAGAGCATAGAACCAAAGTTTCCAAAAAATTTGAAATTAAGTTTTCAGCAGCCAGATTCTGTTTACAAGCTTTGAAGGACCACATGCAATATAGATGGAATAACGGGACTGCAGATAAATTTTTAAAGATTTGAAAGAAAAGCGGAGTTGGGATCGTGCTTCGGCCTAAAAGTGAGACTCTGACAACACTTTATCACCAACCTTGAGCATCAACGTAGAGTCCGATTTTATCGAAGACTAGCAGATACTCTCTCGACAATGGTTCAGTGGACTCGCCGGCTACCTCGATCATGAGTTGAGCCTCGTAATTCGACTGACTAAGGAACTGCAGAGATTGATCTTCCATGTTCACCAAAGCTAAAAACAACAGCGAGATTGCTTGACTCAGCAATCCTACAGATTTGCCCTAAAGTACTCAGAATTCAAATTAAACAAGTCGAAAGTCGAGTAATGTGACGAGTATAAACGTACAGATATGCTTGGTGTTGCTTTGATCTCCTAAGGCCCATGCACGGAACGAATGGGTAAAGCCAACAACCAATCGACCGCCTTCAATTGCCAGAGACTGTGGGAAACCTGGCATCGCTAACTCCTGTAAAAGAATGAATCTTTCAAACTGCTCAGGCGCAAGCACCCTTACAGCCGTGAGAAAAACTACTTACCTTCCATTTCCTGTGCCTCTTTTCACTTCTGTCAATCTGGTACACAATTACGCTCTTCTTTATCGCAACCGCTATATAGTGGACGTTTCCAGCTGGACCAGCGGAAGCCGTGCCAGCCATAGAACCGGCACCCATTGCCATCAGATGACAACCTTTCGTCTCGGCAACCTTAAAAATCACCAAATGTTGAAGAAATTGGAAAATTCGGTGATAGAAAAAATGCGAAAATTCGATTAGCGAAAGGATCGAAAGAAGAAGCCCAGAGAAAAAAGTCGGGCAAAAAATGAATAAAAAAAAAGTACTAGAAATAATAAAAATCGACTTTGGTCTCAAAACTTTCTCGCTAATTAAAAACGAAAGTAATGTGTTCGCTAGAAAATCACATACCTTGATCCATTTCAAGTCACGCCCATCTAGTGCAGCTGACGGAACCAAGCGGACATGCCTTTCCTTCGGAGGACCAACCATGACCAAAAGCAACTAAACAACCAATTATGTCTGATAAGAAAAGCATTTTAAAATGGGAATTCTCTACTTCAAGAAGTCACTACTTCCATAGAATCCAATAGATGTGAAAAACACACCTGCCGGATGCATTGAACTCTACTTTTTTCGATAAAGCGCCACCTTGTTTCTTTCTCGCCTCCGACAGCAACAAGCGTCTGAACATAGTAATAAAATCAGTATGCAAAAGAACAAATTGAAAAAAAATTAGAAATATGAAAATATCCTCTAAAACATGGTTGTGGTCCGACAGGGAACATCTTGAAACCAAAATTCCATTAAATCTTCTTGAGAGCTCTTAAGAAATAATCATGGAACTATAGGATTGCAGAAGGCAGGAAGGGTATCCAAATCTATATGCAACGATATATTGGGTGGAGGGAGGGAAAGCTTGACAAGTATTCCCATTTAGAACAGGAAAATAATTAGCTAATCAGTTTGTGGGATATTGATGAAACAACAAATTTAAAAAACATAACCGTATTTTCATAGAAAAATAAACACACCTCACGATCGAGCTCTACGCAGTACATTCCGACATCCGCGAAGCCGATCACCACTTTCGTCCGATCGATGACCACTGCACATTGGCAATCGATCGTGGTAAACTAGCCACTGAACACTTCTACAATTTTTATCCTTGGAAAACGGAACGATTTCCGTATAATATAAATAAACCCTTGCGGAGACCCAAGTTCGCAATTAATTCTCGTCACTGTTCCTGGGTCGTCCGCTTTGAAAACACGCTCAACTAATGGTAAGAATGGAGAAAATCCTTCTTTTACTGATTCTCATATCTGATATTTGATGGATTTAATGTTTAAACCGACTCATGTAAATCCAATGGGACATTTACGTAAAGCACGAACAGCCACTCCGTGAAGTAAGGAACAAAGCAACTCATCATGCCTTCTTTTTTTGTTGGATATATCAGAGATGGAATTTGTGGCAAGTGGCGCTGGTCCACGTGCGGATCAAATTTTAGATAGTTATTCACCGTCAGGGTCAGTCAGTCGCTACCCTCCGCGGTCATTTATTGATGGCCAGTTTCTCTGGCAGAATAAAGACACTGACTCGCACATCGAATTGCTTCACAAATCACTGTACAACCAAATCGCATTTAGAATGCCACTACGATGTTACTAAGACTTTGAATGGAAGAGAAATGCGCGGCGCATTCCTAAATAGACTGGCAAACGAACGCTTTCCTTTAAAATTAACACGTTGACGACAAGCTGACGCGCATGCGCGTCAAGAATTTCGCACCGCATCGGACATTCTGACGCGCAAGCGCGTCAAGTCTATGCTACTCACTTTTATCGTGCTTGCGCTCCTTCCTCTCGGGTTTCTTGTATTCATTCTATAGATAATACATTAGCATGACTATAAACCGCTTGGCAGCTAGAGTGGTCAAGTATCTTTTGATTAAGCAAAGATTTTCCGAACGCACAAAACTTTCGTTCCGATTCTTTCTTAATAATACTTTCACTGCCGTCAATATTCTTATGAAAGATTTTAGAGTTAGTTGAAACAAAACTCTGTGAGTTTCAATATATTTGATTTGATGGGAGTACTTAGATATAAATGCTTTTAATTTCATTCGCAGCGAAAGTGATGTTTTTTTTACTTCTTCGTGGTTATTATGCGCTCTTCTAAACGAAAACCTTTTGCTACTTATATACTTAACCTTTGTGCGATCGTCCTTGCCGAAATAGTCCTATGAAATTCAAGTTATTGTGCATTTTTAACAAAAAATAAGCGTAAGTAAGGTGAGGACGGCGCGGTCGCAAAATCGCTCCTGTCCCACGAGGTGCAAAATGCCAAAACATGCGATGTCGTCAACGTGTTAAATATTTTCTTTTTTCATAAACCGCGATTAGTCAAGAAAATGTGCAATAAACTTGACCCTCTCTGCTACAATTTTCTGAATGACTTTTTAAAATTATAGAGCTAACCTTCACGGTGAAAGCACTTCTGTCCGCCAATCGAGACCTCTTGAGCAAGGTTTTCAGCTCATTCAAGGCTATGACCCACTTCTTTCGTTCCTAAGGAAAGAAAAAATTGAAAGCGGAATGATACTTGGATGTGATCCTAATGTAAACCTGTAAAAAATACATTATTAGAAACGGTTAGACAAACCTCTTGGCTATCCGCCATCAACAGCGTATATTGCCTTGTCATGTTACCTTCGTCCGCCATGGATGAACCTTGAATTTGACTGGTCGTGATGCGGAATTTTAGCCAAATCGTTCCTGAAAATACGAAGAGCGATTAACGATCAAAATAGAACTATCGGACTGAAGATTGGATACTAATATCTTGATTCTCTTTGAAAAAGGCTGATCTAATTAACCCACTTATTAGCATGTATGACATCCTGCTCATTGACGCCTGTGACACCAAAGTCAGGATCCCGCATATCGAGAACCTAAACGATAATTAACCGCGCTATTTTCATTCTCCTATTGAACGGTTATATGAACAACTTTCGAAAATACCTGCTAATAACCGGCTGGACTTCATTAGCCTTATTTTGCCTTTCCGTAACACAATCGTAGAGGTACAGCTTGAAGTCGCATACAACAACATATGTATGTTGCCAGCCCTAGAACAATTTCGGTAAACTTATTTATTTAGGGCAAAAGAGATCAAATGAAACACTAACTAGCGAAACCAAAAAGCTCAATCTTCAGTGTTCTTCACAAAACCTCTGCTCACCTTTTTCACACCACCCGCACGAGGCGTCTTTACCAATCCTTCATACGCGGTTCCGACACCTTTGAGCGGATCTATCCCAAGTGGTCGACGAGCGTCTGGTGGTACAGGACACTGCGGTACAACTCGAGACGAGCAATGCACATGGCATGCGTAGTGGCAGGTTTGGCAGTACAACCCTGAAACAAAAAAAAAATCGTAATAGAACTAAAGCAGTGATGTTTCTTGAGCTCAGTTGAAGATTATTCCAAATGCCCTATAATCTATTCAACTAAACTTTGGAAGCGAAATGTACGGAATTTTCACTCGTCAATCAGCTTGCCTAACATGACATGGAACTGATATGAAAGGCGCTGTCTAAACCACGCTATCACCTTCACGCTGCGAACGAATGTTAACTTGCTAATTAAATAACCGTCAATAAAGTCGCAGCTGAGAAACCGTTCAATTCAGAAAATGTTCTCATTACGATAATTAATAACCACTGTTAAATATAGAAGAACCAATATCGACGTGCAATGTCCACATTTCGTAGGCGCATTCAAGTGAACGTGCTGAAACTGATGACCACGCCCACTCAAAGCATTGTTCAGCGATTGGATCACCTCAAATGGTCGAAAAATTTAAGTGTAAAACATCACATGAAATTCAATTCATCGAGAAAGAATTAACGCTATAACATTTTTTTCAAAATCAACACGTTTTACCTTTGGCTGGCTCCTCGATTTCCTACTAGCATAGTGGAAGCTGTCGACGGGGTTTGACTGTGCCTAACCGTGTTCTCGTACGCTGGCGGTGGTGCTGGTGAGGGAATCCTGAAAAAAAAACACGGTTTTTGTTTTCAACAAGTTTAGCCATTAAGAAAATGAAACATACCCAGGTACACCGTATCTCCTGCTGTTCGAAATCTCGTAATCGGTATTAAAGGAATTGTGCACCGACTCACGCGGTGTAGATGTTCGACCTTGAAATGAGCGTTTAGAAAAGTGAGACACAATGATACGCTCAATCAACGTTAGAACTGGGTGAAATCGCTCAATAATCATTGAAAGGTTAAGTGTTTCCTGTTGCAGTTCCAAGAACAGCTAACCTTCGGGGACCATATTGAAGAACGCACGACCATCTTCGACACTGTCACGGTTACCAGCACGTAGTTCTGCTTTCAATGTCTCATTCTCCTTCCTCGCCGCCGCCAACTGCAATAATAAAAAAAACCATAGTGTAATTGTAACAAGTGCACTACATTCGGGAACAACATTAAGTAATTACTTTTCTTACAGTACATTCCAATGTAACGACATCTGTAGCCAGTAGTAGCAATGAATGACTGCAGATTTTATCTCCGGAACTAATGAAAGCGCGTAGGAAACGGGTTCAGATACTACAGTGTGCTTCCAGAACTACCACGACAACGCATAACCATTACCTGTTTGCTGTTCTGACCATGTAAGGAGGGAGTGCGGAAATGCGATGAACCAGCGTTAAGTTTGACTATCATAAATGCTGATACGGAACAAGCCTAGCATCAGAACATTATCATCCTCAACGGGTCTAAATAATAGTCACCAGCAGTTTAAAGTCCCATTAGGCGCGGCCGCGCAAACGACTTATTGTAAAAAAAAAAACCTAGAAATTTAGCTACACAGCATTTCTTTCATCGTGTGCTGTTTGCCCTAGCTTTAAAGGCTTAAAGCTATAGAAGTGCTAAGGCTGGTGTCAGAGTCCGCGATTCGATTTGCGCGATTTTCGCGATTTTCGCGATTGTCGCGATTTTCGCGATTGTCGCGATTTTCGCGATTGTCGCGATTTCGCGATTTCGCGATTTGTCGCGATTTGCGCGATTTTCGCGATTTTCGCGATTTTCGCGATTTGCGCGATTTGCGCGATTTTCGCGAAACCTGCGATGGATCACAGGAGTTGGAAGTGCCCGATGAATACTGCGAGGTGTTGTTTAATCCTGCTGCGAATTCTGCTTGGCAGTAAAGATTGGAAGACGAATGTTTGTGGTTCTACTTGTTTCATGTTCAATGTCTATTAGTTCATTGAAATGCTCTTGAATCGTTCCTATTTTTTTTTTTTTCAGGAATCAAACCAAACCAATCACAAAAATTGCAAGTGCCCCATTTGAACAATTGAAACACTGGATATGAAACAAGTGGAATCATGAGCAGTCTCCATTAAACCATAACCATCAAGCAGAAGTGACGGCGGGATTGGAGAACACCTTGCAGTATGGATGGGGCACTTGTGATTTCCGTGACCCGTCGCGCAAATCGCGAAAATCGCGAAAATCGCGCAAATCGCGAAAATCGCGAAATCGCGAAAATCGCGCAAATCGCGAAAATCGCGCAAATCGCGAAAATCGCGCAAATCGCGCAAATCGCGAAAATCGCGCAAATCGCGAAAATCGCGAAAATCGCGAAAATCGCGCAAATCGCGAAAATCGCGCAAAAATCGCGGACTCTGACACAGTCTTAAAGGCCGATGTCAGCTTGCGGGGTTACCATGCGTCGTGGCCGACCGTTACGATAGCTATCGCAAAAATAAGAAATGAGCACTAAAAAAATATATATAACATTATCGCTCTGGTAGCGGATTTCTATCTATAACTAATTTTACACCGTACTCTGATTAGCAAGCCTGGTTAAAGAATAAAATAAGAACAAATCTAATAAACCAATAAGCAAATTCGAATTACTAATTGAAAAACTAACCCTTTCTTCGCATTCGTCCAAGCGGGCCTTCGACGCAAACAAAGCCGACCGCGTTTTGCTCAGCTCTTTGAAGCTCGCAACTTTGTGCTCTAATTCAGCATTCAAGTGCTTTCTTTGCGTCAAGAATCTATAAATATAATACGTCGAGAATTATAACGAAGCCCTCATTGCAAATTCACACCATGCAACGGAAAATCGTTGCGGAGGAAATTTAATCAATACTGTACAGGAATATGGAATCAATGTTGCAAACCTCCATTTTGGCCGCCTTGTTCATACGACGGGATCCCCATCCTGCAGCTGGCGTAGTGATATTGCTGTACTGACCTAAAATATCATGCAACTCTATCGAAGTACCCAGCACAACAATTCCCTAGATTTAACTACATACTAAGTTAGTGATCCAAATTAGGTATTAAATTTCTCACGTATACTGACCCCTTCCTTTAAATATGGCTGAAAAAGTTTCTGATGAGGGAATGAATAGCGACGATAAGCTCTAACCATACACTGACCACTATGAGGCGTACCTCCATTCGTGCCGTTTTGCAGTTTCAACGTTTCGATATCGCCAGTGATACGCCGAGTAAGTAGCTGGAATTTGAAATCTCAACTCGTTAAAACATAAACAAAACCGCTTCAACGTATCAAAAATGCTTGAACTGGTCAAAAAATGATACGACCCAGACTATGTTAATTACCCAACTTTTAGCAGATTCTGAAACAAGCAGAGAAACAATGTAAAAACATGCACACAACCGGAGAAAAACCGTGAAACATACCTCCTTATCTCTGGTAGCCTTCTCCTCGTCACGGGCCATTTTGAGGATATCGTGACAATTGCTAGTTGGTTGATAACAGGTCGAGCCATTTCACACTTTCAAAAAAAAAAAAAACCTTGATCTCACGTTTATCCCTATTGGCAGCAATTCGTCACACTGTAAGAGTGTAAACAACTAATCAAGCTTCATGAAAATGAAAAAAGATCAACTATATAAGCAATTGAAAGGAGTGTGATTCTTACATCTCGGAGTGGAGGCGTGACAGTTCAGCTCTTAATGTATCATTTTCCAGTTTGAGTTGGGCGGTGTTCTCTTCAAATGCCTTTTGAAGGCGATCGTATTGGACCTGTAACAGATCATAATGAGCACCATTAATAAGTTCAAGCATATTCACTAAAAACTGTCTTACTTCCACATTTTTCGAGTTCTGCTCCTGTTGCAACGCAAACTGGGCACGTTCCTCTTCCAACCTGCTGCGAGCATTCCGAAGTTCAACGTCTTTTTCATCGAATTGCGCTTGAAGCTCAGCCAGTTGTCCCTGGTAACAATCATTTCTTGCTGCGTAGAAAAAATGCAATTATTTTCATACTATTTTCCCACAAACTCATAAAGAAACTTGAGGCGCTTTCGAAACGTGATTAGCAGTTTAACTGATCATTAACTTGAAACGAACAATCAATTATGCAGTAGAAAAGTGAAGCTATCGATCAGTCCATGGAAGGCCAGGATCATTTTCAGATGCAATTTTTGATGGTGGCAATATGTGGATGTGTGTGATTCCATCTCATTATATCAAATGCAAAAAATCAAAACATGAACTGCAACGAATGCAAACTGCAGCACGCAGTTGTCACCACTACAAATATTCTAAACTAGTCAGCCTTGCACTGTCAAAATAAACAAGCAGCGCAATCTATCAACCATATCTCCTATGAGCTTAGATGATGCGAATTGTGATGAAGAAACTGAAAACTATTCCCTCCGACGAATAGATGAATCTGACAAGGCAGTCTTTCAGGCAAGCTTGCGCTTTTTGGACCCGGTTCAGGTAGAAAAGTAGGGACGCATGTAATGGACACAAAACCATGTTTCGTTTTCGCTGAACGTTTCAGTAGTACCAAAAAAGTGGTGAATAATACTCTTGATGGTTCAATCCCCCGCGGCGACTAAATTTTGCAATCAAGGTTGGCGGCCACTTGTTGGCTTCAAAATGGTCCTGACGATGAATTTGACATCTGATTTTGATATTTAGCGCGATTTGGCGCCAACCCAAATGCAAAATTTAGTCGCCACGGGGGATCGAAACCCTTAACAGTACCTTATGCTTCTTTTTTGGTACTGCTATAACCGTTCAGCGAAAATGAAACATGGTTTTGCGTTCCCTACATGCGTCCCTACAATATGCACAAAACCGTTTTGAAAAAGCGCACCTTGCCCTGAAAGACCTCCCTTGTTGAGATTGAATACATAATTATGACCAAGGCTCAACTACAGCTGATCAGATGCGAACCAAAAAACCCGACTTTCATTCAAGATCTTCAGCTACTCAAAGAAGCTAACCTAGAGCAGGAGGGGCAGCCGCCGCTGGCGCTCGCGGCTTGGCGTCGCTCAGCGAGACGTGTGTACTCGCACATTCAGCTTCACGGTACCCCTCCCCACCTCAACCTCTGGAATGGTTCAAGTGACTGCTTCGTGATCCTGGCTTCGAACTGGAGAGCGCGAAAATGCGCGTGCCCCTTCCAAATTAATACACACATACCTAATTAAGAGAAGCCGTCAAACTTTCTATGCGCTGCAACAGCCATGCTGAAGTTGTGGCCATTCCATGGGCCCTGGCCCACTTTTTTGAAACGTAATTTAAAATTTTTTCAATATAATTTCATCACCAATCAACAAAACAAAAATCTCACCTGATAGTGCTCAACAAGCTGTTTTCTCTTCTTGTCTTCTTGCGCAACAATCTCTGTATGTCGCTCATTCAACCGTTCCAGTTCTTCACCCAGACGGCGTGCCTCTTCACCAGGAGTTTCATCCCCAAATGCTGCCAGCTGAAAATTATTTGGGGCATCCAAACATTTAAACGCTTCTTGAAATGATGTAACATTGACTCTCTTAGAAACACTGAGGAAACCATGTCCTGAAAGCCTTGCCTTAGCCTGTAGTCCTTCCTTGAGTAATCTTTCAGACTCTGCAGCCTGTTTCGCCTTTTCTAGCTCCATATCCATGTTCTGTCGAGCTAAAAACCAAATCTTCAACTTAATTAGCTTGCTCACTCAGTAAAACAGATCTACATTCTAATCTCAATCGTCTGACAATTGTCGTAGCATTGGTTAACACGTTGACGACCGCCGTTGTGCGCGTACTGCTTCAACATTTTTCGTATTCTCTCATCAATAGGCATTAATCCTTCAGCGTTTTCATCAGTAATGAAAAAACTGTTTTTCGGATCCAATAATGTACATGGACCGTTGTGGAACAGGAAGAAAAACACCAAATAAATTAAGGAAAACTAGTCTGCTCCATGTGAAAGTGTGGTATGACATCATACCACACGGTCGTCAACGTGTTAGGTGAAGAGGTAAGAAAAAACTCTAGATCAATACCCTTACCGCTTTCTGCCTTTCGAAGATCCGCTTTCAAGGTATCTACTCTGGATTGCAGCTGAGCAATTCGGGTTTCGGTTTCAGCGGCTTCTTTCTCCAAGCGACGAGCTTTACTGCGCTCGTCCAGAAGCTCATTATTGAGCTGAAAGTTAAAAGTTGAGGCGCCAAACAACTTTCTGCTTAGCAAAACGGCCAGTAGCGCTCCTTCGATTGGTTTGGAAAAAAGTGTATACATGTGAAATTATTCATTTTACATTAAGGACATTTAAAGGCACATTCTACGATCACCTTGAGGGAACTAATTCGTCCAAGAGAAGGAGAAACTAGAAACAACGCGACCACAGAGCTTGTTAGAAATTCCAAATGTTTATCCTGTGAGACAGATAGGCGCTATGAGCC